GCGTTTCCACATAATACAACAAGTCAGTCTGTCAGAGTAGGAAGTGCGTTTTCCACATAATACAACAAGTCAGTCTGTCAGAGTAGTGAAGTGCGTTTCCACATAATACAACAAGTCAGTCTGTCAGAGTAGGAAGTGCGTTTCCACATAATACAACAATCAGTCTGTCAGAGTAGGAAGTGCGTTTCCACATAATACAACAAGTCAGTCTGTCAGAGTAGGAAGTGCGTTTTCCACATAATACAACAAGTCAGTCTGTCAGAGTAGGAAGTGCGTTTCCACATAATACAACAAGTCAGTCTGTCAGAGTAGGAAGTGCGTTTTCACATTTCAGTCACATAATACAACAGTCAGTCTGTCAGAGTAGGAAGTGCGTTTCCACATAATACAACAAGTCAGTCTGTCAGAGTAGGAAGTGCGTTTTCCACATAATACAACAAGTCAGTCTGTCAGAGTAGGAAGTGCGTTTCCACATAATACAACAAGTCAGTCTGTCAGAGTAGGAAGTGCGTTTCCACATAATACAACAAGTCAGTCTGTCAGAGTAGGAAGTGCGTTTCCACATAATACAACAAGTCAGTCTGTCAGAGTAGGAAGTGCGTTTCCACATAATACAACAAGTCAGTCTGTCAGAGTAGGAAGTGCGTTTCCACATAATACAACAAGTCAGTCTGTCAGAGTAGGAAGTGCGTTTCCACATAATACAACAAGTCAGTCTGTCAGAGTAGGAAGTGCGTTTCCACATAATACAACAAGTCAGTCTGTCAGAGTAGGAAGTGCGTTTCCACATAATACAACAAGTCAGTCTGTCAGAGTAGGAAGTGCGTTTCCACATAATACAACAAGTCAGTCTGTCAGAGTAGGAAGTGCGTTTCCACATAATACAACAAGTCAGTCTGTCAGAGTAGGAAGTGCGTTTCCACATAATACAACAAGTCAGTCTGTCAGAGTAGGAAGTGCGTTTCCACATAATACAACAAGTCAGTCTGTCAGAGTAGGAAGTGCGTTTCCACATAATACAACAAGTCAGTCTGTCAGAGTAGGAAGTGCGTTTCCACATAATACAACAAGTCAGTCTGTCAGAGTCGGAAGTTTGCATTTCTGTCCACATACATAATACAACAAGTCAGTCTGTCAGAGTCGGAAGTGCGTTTTTCCACATAATACAACAAGTCAGTCTGTCAGAGTCGGAAGTGCGTTTCCACATAATACAACAAGTCAGTCTGTCAGAGTAGGAAGTGCGTTTCCACATAATACAACAAGTCAGTCTGTCAGAGTAGGAAGTGCGTTTCCACATAATACAACAAGTCAGTCTGTCAGAGTAGGAAGTGCGTTTCCACATAATACAACAAGTCAGTCTGTCAGAGTAGGAAGTGCGTTTCCACATAATACAACAAGTCAGTCTGTCAGAGTAGGAAGTGCGTTTCCACATAATACAACAAGTCAGTCTGTCAGAGTAGGAAGTGCGTTTCCACATAATACAACAAGTCAGTCTGTCAGAGTAGGAAGTGCGTTTCCACATAATACAACAAGTCAGTCTGTCAGAGTAGGAAGTGCGTTTCCACATAATACAACACGTCAGTCTGTCAGAGTAGGAAGTGCGCATACAACAAGTTCCACATAGGAAGTGCGTTTCCACATAAACAACAAGTCAGTCTGTCAGAGTAGGAAGTGCGTTTTTTCAAAAAGTCACATAATACAACAAAGTCAGTCTGTCAGAGTAGGAAGTGCGTTTCCACATAATACAACAAGTCAGTCTGTCAGAGTAGGAAGTGCGTTTCCACATAATACAACAAGTCAGTCTGTCAGAGTAGGAAGTGCGTTTCCACATAATACAACACGTCAGTCTGTCAGAGTAGGAAGTGCGTTTCCACATAATACAACAAGTCAATCTGTCAGAGTTGGAAGTGCGTTTCCACATAATACAACAAGTCAGTCTGTCAGAGTAGGAAGTGCGTTTCCACATAATACAACAAGTGCGTCAAGTCTGTCAGAGTAGGAAGTGCGTTTTTTATTAACAACAAGTCAGTCTGTCAGAGTATGGAATCCACATAATACAAGTCAGTCTGTCAGAGTAGGAAGTGCGTTTCCACATAATACAACAAGTCAGTCTGTCAGAGTAGGAAGTGCGTTTCCACATTATACAACAAGTCAGTCTGTCAGAGTAGGAAGTGCGTTTCCACATAAATTTATACAAAAAGAATTGCGATTCTTACTAGACCCGTGAAATATATTTTAACGTTGATGGTATTTGTATTAACAGGAAATTCTGAGTATTTCTGCATTGGAAACAAAAATACTTTACAGAGGTGGAGATGTAAATTCAGATCAGTCAACTGTTCAATAAATCAGTCAAGTGTGGTTTCCGCAACTAAGGTTTACAGTAGCCTCTCTAGTTCTTGCTCGCCGTTCGCTTAGACACTAGTTAGTTGATCTCTTATTTTATTCCCCCACTTATAACACTGTCTACCTGTTACTTTTACCTTCAAGCTTCGCCTTCAGTATTACAATGTAAGTGTTACGTCCTATAATGTAAGTATTTCATGTCTCTTTTTTATTTTTTTTATTTCTTTCAGCAACCATCTCTTCATTCTCAGTCTATCCAAAAGCTGGGTATTGGATAGTTTTTGTTTCCATGAGACATGATCTATTGCACCTCCTCTTCCTTCAGCTTACACAATATGCTACTTGTAATCATCCGCACCCACGACCACAAAACATGAATAAATAAAAAAAAAATGATGGTAAAGAAAGATAACTACATTGATAGTAGGGCTGTACCGAAGAGTGATTTTCACTATTCGGCCGAATACGAATAGCGGGACCGACTATTCGTCCGAATACGAATACGAATAGTGTGTAGTGTATAAAATATCATCATTATCATCAGGTGCCTTGCCGACTGGCGCGGACGATCATGCCTCTCCATAATCTGCGATCTCCTGCAGCATGTATCAGTTCGTGTGCCGACACACCTCCATGCCATGCAACAAGACTGTCAAGCATCTTCTCTCGTTGTCTTCCTCTATCTCTCCTTCCACATATCTTTCCAGTGGTCACAACATGTTCTATTTTCCATCATCTCATTACATGGCCGAAAAATGATGACTGTCTCCTTCTTATGTCTGTGATAAGTTGTCTTCGGGCTCCCGCATCTTTCAAAACCTCTTGGCTGCTCTTTTTGGCTGTCCTAGGTATTCTAAGCATTCTTATGTAAAACCACATCTCCGCGGCCTCCAGAAATTGATTGGCCTGCCTACTGATTGTCCAGGATTCACAGCCATATGTTAAAACTGGATGTATAAAATATATCTATTTAAACAAAAAAAAAAATTTAATAGGTATAAAATATATCTATAAAAAAAAATAAAAACCACACACATTCATAATGTCAAATGTACGCTGAACTTTTACTTCACATAAAGTAGCACAGAATAGTTATCTTCTTCTTTAGCATTCTGAGCCCTTGAGGTTTACTGCTGCAGATATCACTCGTCTCCATTCATCTCTCTGGCTGGCCTTATCTTTACAATTTGTGATACCAGTTGTTTGCAGGTCTGGCTGGACATTATCTCTCGAACTTCTTTTTTGTCTGCCTCGTGGTCTACGCCCATTCCTCTCTCAGGTGTATACAGTTTTTACTTCTCTGTCATCTGACATTCTTTCAATATGCCCCAACCACTTTAGTATGTTAGCTCTCATGATGCCAGTGATCAATGGTGATTTAAACAGATTATGTGTTACGTTGTTGCTTCTCACTCTCCATTCCCCGCTGTTAGCATCTTTGATGGGTCCAAAGATTTGTCGTAAGACTGTTTTCGAAAACCTGTAAAAAGGCCTAACTTCTTTTATTTCTGCTTCAAGTTTCAGAGCCTTATAAAACGACTGGTCTTATCAACGTTGTATATATTTTGATCTCGGTCTTGCGAGACAGACACTTTGACTTTAGCAGATGTTGAAGGGCACAGTACACTTTATTTCTAGATTGTATTTCTTCTCTCAGCGTGTTCGAGCAGTTGAAGTTTGCATCCAAGTACTTATATGTTTCCGTTCGTTTGACTTTCATATTATCGACTTGGATGTGGCCGGAGTTTATATTCTTTCCATGTCTAGTTAGTATTCGTACAGAATAGTTAACATTTGAAAAAAACATTTTATGTTTTTCATCCTTCGTCAGTATGTGGTAACTAATAACTAGGAATGAAAAAAATCCTAAGTATTATAACAAATAACTAAACTTGGAAATTGTCACTGACAGCTTAGTTACTGCATGAAAGCTGCATTAACTTTCAACAAAACCAATCGTTTCATGTTGTCAATATTACGGCCGTGTACGCAGAAGCGGGTGTAGGGTAACTACTATTCGTATTCGGCCCGACCGCAACTATTCTGCCGAATACCGAATAATCAATAGGTCTACTATTCGTCCCCGAAGCGAATACGAAGCGAATATTCGGTACAGCCCTAACTGATAGTGTCAAAAAGTTCACGGATCTGCCGCAATAGCGTTCATATTATGCATTTTTCACATCACGTAAAAAAAAAAAACCCAGATATATAACGACTTGGCGTGAGTTGGCTGAGGACCTGTGTTCTACTTTGCGTGGATTTTTATCATGGTTTGGGGCGTCGCAGGTCGACCCAGCATAAAATGGGTACCAGGATGGATGTCCTAGGGAAGTAAAGACGGCCGTCGCAAAAATGCTGACCACATTACCCACCTACTGCTGATGGTCTGAAAAAAACATGGGTGCTCTTCCCATATGCCCTATGCGCCTTAGGTAAAGTAAAGATCCCTTTTCACGCCTAAGGCGCATAGGGCATATGGGAAGAGCACCCATGTTTTTTTCAGACCATCGGCAGTAGGTGGGTAAAGTGGTCAGCATTTTTGCGTCAAACATGTCGTATAATACAAATATACGGTTATAAACTTATGACCAGTAAGTATTTTTCCTTTTTATTCAATTTGTTCGTCAGTATAAAACAAGTTGATATTCTTCCTAACATATCTGTCCACCGTTTCTGATTTTCTGCAAATCTTTTGTACTGCGTTGAACGCCGAAATCGCAGCAATAGGGAAATTCCAACAAGCGCGTACTAACTGTCTTTAACCTCCAGAGTTCAACTATTTTTATCCTTACCAGAGTAAGATTTTCACTGGGCCAGTGCTGGGTCTTCACGTTTCATAAAAATCGAGGAATAAACCAGAGACTGAAACACACACTTATGGTTATATCTGGAAACCTTATAAAAATGCTTTTTTTTTTTTTTTGGCGCATCCTCTACTGGATGTTGCAGAACCAACCCTAGCACTTTCTGGCTGTTGTGGTTTTTCTAGGCAAATTTACGTCTAGTAGTTTGCCATTGATTTCTGGGCGGTTGGCTCTCGGTACCACAGTCTAAACCATCAGAAGATAAACCCTCTGCAGCAGGGATCGAACCCGGCACCCCGACGTTACGAAGCCCGTTCCCAACGCCTAAACCACAGACGCCGACTGCTGGGTTTTAAACACTCTTAATGCCTACAATGTGCTGATTAAAATTTTCGCTATAGCATATTTTTTGCTTTCTGTCATTGCAGTTAAAGCGCATATTGTATCATTTATTTATTGTCAGCAGGTAATTATCTCTTCTACCCCGGTGACCTAGGAAAATATGGGGACGGAAAGGAAAGGCGGCGGGGTAAACTGACTTGTTTGGGATGTTCTGTGATCTGATACAAATAGGATGGTCGCCCTAGCCATTACACTATAGGACTGCAGGTTACACCGGGCTGATGTAACCGTTTCTGCTGCCCTAATTATAACTCTTTTTGGGAGGTTGAACTGAGTATCTGAGATCTGTCTTGTTGGTCTGTCGTCCGGGTTGAGTTTTTAATCTCAGATTTTTTCAAAATTGACATTAGGTCCTAGGTCGATTCAGCCTAAATGGATACCAGCAAATATCATGTTAATCAGATCATCCATCGAGTGCAGTTTGTTCTGTAAAAACATAAATAAAGAATTTGTTTCCGGGCCTTCAGGTGTATTGGGCTAGTCCTGAATGATAAAGACCAATAGGTACTGGGTGGGTGATGTGGTCAGCATCACGCCGGCCGCCTTTACTTCCTAGGACTGTAGCTGGTACCCACTCAAGGCTGGGTCGACCTGGGGAAAAGAGATCATTTTTGAAAATTGAATTTTTTTTTTTGTCAAAACCTCAACTTATAACCTCACGATCTGCAGTTGAGCGTTTGGCCGCTACACGATGGCTGCTCCCTAATAAATTTGGCGTAAAACAGAAAATGCCAATCGAATGAACAGATGTGGAAATGATGAAAAGCAAGAGAAAGGTTGTTAAAAGGAACGTGTTGTCATGTAGTACAATGCATTTTAGCGTAAACAATACACATACACAATGGTAACAAAGGAAAGATGCAGCCGCAATAACAGATGTGATCATCCCACGTTTTGGACTTTGGTCCTAATAATATCGATATGTTCCCTGTGTGAGTTATGGGGAAAGGGGAGGAGGATGAGAAGGATGACGAATGACATCAGTAACAGGCATATCGTGAGAAGGCGAATAAATAAGCGTTTGCTACAACTGGATGTGTTGGGATATGGCAATCTAACTTTGCTACAACTGGATGTGTTGGGATATGGCAATCTAACTTTGCTACAACTGGATGTGTTGGGATATGGCAATCTATCTTTGCTGCAACTGGATGTGTTGGGATTTGACAATCTAGTTTTGCTACAACTGGATGAGTTGGGATATGGCAATCTAATTTTGCTACAATTGGATGTGTTGGGATATGGCAATCTAATTTTGCTACAACTGGATGTGTTGGGATATGGCAATCTAACTTTGCTTCAACTAGATGTGTTGGGATATGACAATCTAACTTTGCTACAACTGGATGTGTTGGGATATGACAATCTAACTTTGCTACAGCTGGATGTGTTGGGATATGGCAATCTAACTTTGCTACAACTGGATGTGTTTGGATTTGACAATCTAACTTTGCTACAACTGGATGAGTTGGGATATGGCAATCTAATTTTGCTACAACTGGATGTGTTGGGATATGACAAACTAATCTTGCTACAACTGGATGTGTTGGGTTATGGCAATCTAACTTTGCTACAACTGGATGTGTTGGGATTTGACAATCTAACTTTGCTACAATTGGATGAGTTGGGATATGGCAATCTAATTTTGCTACAACTAGATGTGTTGGGATATGGCAATATAACTTTGCTATAACTGGATGTGTTGGGATATGGCAATCTAACTTTGCTACAACTGGATGTGTTGGGATATCGCAATCTAACTTTGCTACAACTGGATGTGTTGGGATTTGACAATCTAACTTTGCTACAACTGGATGAGTTGGGATATGGCAATCTAATTTTGCTACAACTGGATGTGTTGGGAAATGACAATCTAACCTTGCTACAACTGGATGTGTTGGGTTATGGCAATCTAACCTTGCTACAACTGGATGTGTTGGGATTTGACAATCTATCTTTGCTACAACTGGATGTGTTGGGATATGGCAATCTAACCTTGCTACAACTGGATGTGTTAGGATATAGCAATCTAACTTTGCTACAACTGGATGTGTTGGGATTTGACAATCTAACTTTGCTACAACTGGATGAGTTGGGATATGGCAATCTAACTTTGCTACAACTGGATGAGTTGGGATATGGCAATCTAACCTTGCTACAACTGGATGTGTTGGGATTTGACAATCTAACTTTGCTACAACTGGATGTGTTGGGATATGGCAATCTAACCTTGCTACAACTGGATGTGTTGGGATATCGCAATCTAACTTTGCTACAACTGGATGTGTTGGGATTTGACAATCTAACTTTGCTACAACTGGATGAGTTGGGATATGGCAATCTAACTTTGCTACAACTGGATGAGTTGGGATATGGCAATCTAACTTTGCTATAACTGGATGTGTTGGGATTTGACAATCTAACTTTGCTATAACTGGATGTGTTGGGATTTGACAATCTAACTTTGCTGCAGCACAGTGTGTTAACACCAATAGTTGATGCAGGGAGTCGCCACGGTGTAGCAGCTAGACGCTCGACTGCGGATCAAAAGGTCGTGGGTTCGGTTCCTGACAGGTGGCCGGATTGTTTCATAAATGACTTTGGCTCTCATCTCGACCCAACCCTGAGTTGGTACCAGATGCAATCCTAGGAAGTAAAGGCGGCTGTCGTGATACTGACCACATCGATTGGTCTATAAAATATAAGTCTAGCCCTATGTGCCTAATACGTCTAAAGGTGTGGAAAAGGATCGTTTACCTTTACTTTACTAATAGTTAATGTAGAAGTGAAAGCATTGGTGAAAGAACACACATCACCGGGAGATGCTGGTGTATATCCAAATAGTTATGTGATGTTTCAAAAGCGATGTGCGTGAACTTTCGCGGCATGAACTAAAGGAAAAGTAATTAAAGAAAATATCGAAGCCTTTGCGTCTACAACCAGCGGCAGGACTGTGGAGGTCATGGTCGTAACAAAGACCATAGAATGGTGGAAAACTAGTTCACCAATACAACTTTGCTTAGCGATTGAATCAGCCAGAACAGAATCGGAGCTGTTAGTCTAAAAATACTTGGAGACAATCTTAGGAGGTGAACACACTTATGGTCATGTCCGATGTGCGATGAAGATCTCTAAAATGAACAATGAACAATTTAACATTGACGCAGAAAAGATAAATAAAATTGATAACCTTTAGTATGTTCACAGAGATGTGCTGTAGTATGTTCACATAGATTTGCTGTAGTATGTTCACAGAGATGTGCTGTAGTATGTTCGCGTAGATGTGCTGTAGTATGTTCACATAGATGTGCTGTAGTATGTTCGCGTAGATGTGCTGTAGTATGTTCGTGTAGATGTGCTGTAGTATGTTCACATAGATGTGCTGTAGTATGCTCACATAGATGTGCTGTAGTACGTTAAGATAGATGTGCTGAAGTATGTTCTCACGTAGATGTGCTGAAGTATGTTCTCACGTAGATGTGCTGTAGTATGCTCACATAGATGTGCTGTAGTATGTTCGCAAAGATTTGCTGTAGTGTGTTCGCGTTCATGTGCTGTAATAAAAGGATTACAAAGGGGGAAAAAAACATACGTTGACGACGACGAACTCTCGTGCAGGTGGCTAGTAGTCCTGCAGAAAAATACCAAACCATTTGGCAAATATCTAGTTTAATTAAAGTGTATATTCTCATGATGAAGATATTGGTTTAAGTCATAACGGTATCTTTTGACCACGCCTTGGCAAACTTTCCCTATCCATTTCCCTGTTGTCACTACGTACTCAAGTTTTTTTTTTTTTTAAATTCTTCAGATGTGCATAAAAATGTGGGTTGTTAATTCTGATATGGATAGCTAGTCACTTTTTGTTGGGGTTTTTGTTTTCTTTAATAGGTCCTAGACCGTCTTTTATTTCTGTGTCAGGGGTCGAGAGGGGGTGGCAAGGTCAGAGCACATGTGTATAAAGATCATTCAACTTGCACTGGCCGACGTGCTCATTTGTACTTCTCATATTCGCCCCTGACTCCCTGAGCTTGAAAAGTACCAAGCAAGTGTTATGAGTGCTGTCATATAGTTCATTGTTGATACACTCAAAGCACGTTAGCACTGCATTCATGGCCATGACGACAACACGGACAAACTGTTTCAGAATGTGGTCACAATCCACACGAAGACGTCTGATGTAGATACAACCTGTTGAGCTCTGTTACTTTTACCTTTATTATTCTATCATTTCTACATTGTTATTCAACATATTATCTGACTGCTTTCTAATTCCATACCTAAAACCATGATTCATGCGGCATGGCGACACTACAGTTGTCCAGACCGTCCACTAGGACGTGCGGTCGAAGATTGTCTCCCTGTCGATTCACAACACAAGCTTACTTCCCCTTACTTGCCCGGCTCTCTAGCGTAGTTGGCTAAACCGGATTGCGCGGTGAGCGGGTGACGAACTCCTTGTGGTCCGGGTTCACTCCCGGGGGTAGGCAGAAAAGCCACATTTCTCCCAGAGTTACCGTATTTACAATGGAATCAAGGCCGAAAGGTTGTGGTACCATAATACCGAGCCTAAGGGTTAACAACTCATGGCTTCTGGATACTAAAACAAACAAACAACAAACTTCTCCTTGCTTCAGGTGTTTCACGTGGCTCTTTGGCCCGTGTGCGCATCATGACAACCCCATGTTTAGTGCTTAGACAGCAGTCTCGCGCCCCCCCCCCCCCCACCCCCAACCACCATCTCTACCCCTACTCCGATCATGACAATCTGTCCTATGTGATTTTCTCATTCAGAACCAGCTGCGAACATTATTTAGAATGGTTTCTAAATGTTCATAAGGTTGTTTCAGTTGCGAACTAGAGACTCCGAAAATGATGAGTTTCCGCTTCTGCTAAACTGGTGGTAACACGTGCAATAATTGCGTGTGCGATAGTTGGTTGTTGCAACTTTTGCTTCTATTGATGGTGACTACAATTCGGGTGATGACACTTCTGATCGCTGCCTAATGCATTTAATTCGTTTGCATGCCGACTCATTTTATCGAATGCCGAATATTCTACGCCGAGTCTGCTGCAGTCGGGAGGGGCAGCGATGGTACAGCAACCTAGCAAATATGGGGGTAACACGTTTGCCGTGAATTTGGAACTGCAACCAACTAACTTACTAACTAAATAACTAACTAGTTAACTAACTAACTAACTAACTAACTAACTAACTAACTAACTTATTAACTAACTAAAAAAACTAACTATCTAACTAACTAACTAACTATCTTATTAACTAAATAACTAACTAACTTATTAACTAACTAACTAACTTATTAACTAACTAACTTATTAACTAACTAACTAACTTATTAACTAACTAACTCACTAACTTATTAACTAACTAACTAACTTATTATCTAACTAACTAACTTATTAACTAACGAACTAACTAACTAATTTATTAACTAACGAACTAATTAACTAACTTATTAACTAACGGACTAACTAACTAGCTAGCTAGCTAGTTAACATCTTTAAAACCACATTCAGAAACCTTCACACACTATTTTCTCACGAATCTGCAAGACTGCCCACGATATACCCTCACCAGCGGGTTAACAGCCGCATGAGTAGATGATATTAAAACCAATGGTTACTTTGTGATCTCCTGTTTGTTTATAGTTCTATTAGTGTCCGTCATAAGGACTGTTATCAAAACGTTCAGTTAGAGGCTATGTATATAGGGGCGTCTTTTTCTTCCCCCCCCCCCCCCAAAAAAAAAATCCTAACTTGTACAGCCAATGCGACAGCACTAGCCACGCGACCTTAAACATCTTTAGGCTCAAAGATCCCGTGCCCACATAGCACAAATGGTAAACATAGGCAGTAATAGCAGTTTTTTGTTGTTGCAGTTTTGTCCTTTCCCACTCTAGGGTTTCTAGTGGTAGCCTGTGTCAAGTCACTACTTAATAGTTCAGTTAGTTGTTTTACAAGTTGCCATCTATCTTCCACGGAGTTGACTGTTTCACAAGTTGCCATATATCTTCCACTGAGTTGACTGTTTTACAAGTTGCAATCTATCTGGCACTAAGTTGACTGTTTTACAAGTTGCCATATATCTTCCACCGAGTTGACTGTTTTACAATTAGCCATCTATCTTCCACAGATTCCACGATCACAAACCAGTCAGCACTTTGAGTTATTGCTGATGCATCTGAAGCTGTAGAAACTGGGGGTTTTTTTTTTCAAGCCATGACATCTACTACTGCGAATTCTACTAATGACTTCGATGTATCAACGCCTGAACACTGGCATACTCCCACCAAGTAAGTGACAAATTAAAACCTTAAAAATGTGCTGTAAATTATAAACACCAGGTGTTGAAACCTGTCAACATTGTTTTTGCGAATGTCAAGAGTGGTAAGCACGTGACATCATAGTGCAGACCAGCGCCGAGGTATCAGTTTTATAGTGTAAAATGGCCGCCACACTTTCAACATGCACCAGCGAGGAGCAGCTTTATTTTATCCGTGTTTTGATCAATGAAGTAGTGAAACCTATTTAAATTCATGGGCGAATAAAGGTCCTGTATAATGATGCCTGCCTGTTAGTCAGGCAACTGACTGCTGTTCGTCCATCTCTGATATTTTAATCTCACCTGATTGTTTTCTACCTCCACACGCTTACCATCAGATTTTCTTTCCGGAGTTGTTTTTTTTTTTTTTTTTTTACA